ATCATATTTCAAATCAATTATATGTAAACGATTTTCGGATAAATCAATTTGTAAAGAAAAAATATGGTGTAAGATTTGTGTTCAGAAAATAAAAAAAAAGAATGAAACTAAATCTAGTGTCTTTCATGTTGTTTTTTATGATCACTCTAATCGATAGCTCAAAATGTATTTTTCGTAAATAACAACACTGGTTTGTATTGGACTGTAGAACACTTTATTTTTAAAGACTCACGGACTACGTCCGCCATTCATGAAGTTTTTAAGGTATAAAAAAGTCTCTCTCAAAGGGGTGGCGCGGCAGTCGCACATGCGCGAACATGCCGCCCGGCATTGCAATGTTTCAACATTCAATTAATATGTAATTTAACAAAGCACAATTTGCATTATTTGAAAAATCTTCACAAAGCATTTAGATGATAATTAGTAACACTGATACAGATAAGAAAAAAAAAAACAAATTAATGATACTTTACACTGCAACCGATCTTCTCATACAACAAATATTCAATTCAAAATGAAATTAAACATGAGAATATTTTTATGATACAGGTAACAAGCATATTTTAGAAATAGACCTCTTAAGGGTCCCGTGCTGGGTTTTCACTTCTACAACTCTGATTTTCTTATCAGTGCCATAAAACACTTTAAGTATTCTCCCATTAACCATTTATTAGCTGGTAAATTATCCTCAATAATTAAGACTAGACTACCGATTTTGACATTGTCCTTTTCGAATCTCCACTTGCCACGTTGCTGCAGTTCACTTAGGTAGCTTCGTTGCCACTTTCTCCAAATTAATTGTACTAATTTGGTTATTCTTTGCCACCTGGATAACCTATTTTCCTTTAAATTTGTCAACTCCAGTTCAATTATGGCGTTCATTGTTCTCCCTATCAGGAAATGCGCAGGTGTTAAAACTTCTAAGTCGGTTTCATCCGCGGATAGCGGAGTTATCGGTCTACTATTCAAAATGCTTTCATTTTGAGTGGCTATAGTATGCAATTCTTCGTAAGTTAAAGAGGCATTACCTACAGCTCTTTTAAAATGGTATTTAAACGACTTAATTGCTGCCCCCCAGAGACCACCAAAGTTGGGGGCTCTAGGCGGGATAAAACTCCACTCTATGCCTTCAGCGGATTGATAGTTAGCCAATTTTTCATCAGGATTTTTGAATAAATTTAAACATTTTTTTAACTCCTTGTTAGCGCCAACGAAATTCGTCGCGTTGTCTGAAAACAGTTTGGCACATTTGCCTCTACGCGCGATGAATCTCTTCAACGTGGCAATTAGAGACTCGGATGTCAAATCAGAAACTATCTCTATATGCACTGCTTTAGATACAAAACATATGAATAAGCAAATATACACCTTTAGAGAAATTGCTTTTCTTTGCTGTTTACATTTAATGAAAAACGGACCAGTTAGGTCAACACCAGAGCAAATGAATGCGAAATCTGGCACAACTCTTTCTCTAGGTAGATTTCCCATTATTTGCGTAGCAGCAATGGGTTTATTTTTAACACAAACAACACAATTATGAGTAATTCTTCTACATAGAGAACGGCCACACAAGGGCCAAACTTTTTCTCTTACACAGTTTAATAAACCATTTGGACCAATATGCAAATATTTAAGATGATATGTCGAAATAATAACAGAAGTTAAAGGACTATTTTTAGGGAGTATTGCAGGATGTTTTTTAAGAAAATTCAATTCAGTGTTACCTAATCGTCCTCCAACTCTTAAAACTCCATTTGAATCTAAAAGAGGGTTCAAATTTCTTATCTTACTCGTAGGAGACACCTTCCCGTGCAGTTTGAGACTCCGAATTTCTGATCCAAATTGCTCGTTCTGTATTACTCTCAACAGGAACCGCTCGGAGGCGTTGATCTCCTCATTGCTCAGAGGTCCTGAAGATCCTTCAGTAGGGTTTCTGCAATTCTTAGAAAACCTAAAAATATAACTTAATTTACGCACTATTGTAAAATAATTATTACTCAAGCCAATTAGTTCATGCACAAAATTGTTGGATGTTAATGTGAAGGCTTTTAAGGGATCTTCAACGTCTAAGCTTGAAGGCTTTTTAAGTTCACTTTGGAAGACACTCAGTTCTTGCGACACAGGAAAGTTTTGGTTAGGATACTCATTGTCATAAAGGAAATTAGGGCCTTTCCACCATAAATTTGTCTCTAAAAGTTTCACAGGGTCCAATCCTCGGGATATCAAGTCCGCGGGATTCATCTCGGATGGCACATGATTCCATTGGGACTTTAGCGTCAGTTCTTGTATAAGTGCAATTCTATTTTTCACGAATGTCTTAAGACTCGTTGGCTCCTTTTGAATCCATGCTAGCACAATCATGGAATCAGACCAAAGGTAAACTTTGTCTGTTTGCAATTTTAATGCGGAAAGTATCTTTTTCATTAACTTGGACAACAAGACTGCAGCACAAAGTTCCAGTCTGGGGATACTTAGGGCTTTAAGTGGGGCAACTCTAGATTTGCTAGCAACTAATTTCACATTTATGTCACCTGCAGAGTTGAGAGACTTACAATAAACGACCGCTCCATAACAACTCTCCGATGAATCAGCAAATCCATGAAATTCGAATGTTTTAGACTGTTTTATTGTAATGCACCTATCAACTTTAATGTTGTTCACACCTTTCAACGTGGAAATAAATTCGCTCCACTCCTGAGATTCTGCAGCAGGAAGTGGATCACCCCAGTCAATGTTCAATTTCCGCATAAATATTTTGGCCTTGGCTATGACAGGGTCGGCTATCCCTAGGGGGTCGAAAATTTTTGCAATGGTGGACAGAACTGACCGCTTGGTAAAAGTGTTGTTCTCATCCACTGATATTTTGAAGGTATAGCAGTCCTCTGATGGTCGCCAAATGACTCCTAAAGTTTCTGTTTCATCGGCGCTCGAAAAGTCATAATCGTTTTTACTTGGTGAAAGTTCCGGATGGCTAGCAGACCATTTGCGTAGACTCATACCGGCTTTATCGAGAATTGAAATCAGTTGCCGCCGTGTTTCCTTCGCTTCATCCAGAGAGGGTGCTGAATACAACACATCATCCATATAGAAGTTGTCACGTAGAAGAGGAGCTGCAAAGGAAAATTTATCCCCTCGTCAAGAGATAGCTGATTCAAACACCTTGTTGCTAAAAAACTAGCACTCACGGTGCTGTACGTGATAGTTCTCAATTCATAAGCTTTTGTTGGGCCATTCGCATGATCCTTCCAAAGGATTCTTTGAAGACAATGCTGCTTAGGGCTCACCAAAATCATTCTGTACATCATCTTTATATCCGCTTGAAACGCGTATGTGTGCCTTCGAAAGCTAGTCATTATGCTAAATAAGTCTTCCTGTATCACCCCACCATTATACTGGATAGCGTTAAATGAGGTAGCATTATGCGTCAAGCTAGAAGCGTTGAATACTACGCGAAGCTTCGTAGTACTCTTCTCGGGACGATACACGCCATGGTGTGGCATATAATAGGAACTTTCTGGTTCTCCTTCATCTTTAACTTCACTCATGTGACCAAGACTCTCATATTCATCAAGAAAGTTTTTGTAAAGTCTCAAATGTTCTTGGTCCTTTGATAACCGATACCACAGAGAATTCTGTCGTTTAAGAGCAATATCCCTTGACTCGCCTAAACACGAGGGTACTACGTATCTACCTTCTTTATTACGGAAATGTGTTTGCTCAAAATGTTCCTCGCAAAGGGTCGTTTCTTTACTTTTCGTTAACCCTACGTCTAAATTTTCAACTTCCCAAAAACTCTTTAATGTTTTGTTTAAATCATCCTCTAAAATTAATCCGCAATGCACATTGGTTGTATGCGAATCAATTAAACTACCACTCGCTACGTATCCGAAAACGGTATTTTGTAGAATTAATTTTGATTCGTGTAAATATATTTGTCCCGACCGTAATAATTCATAGAATATCTCCGCGCCTAACAATACGTCAATTTTATCAGGAATGAAAAAGGTTTCGTCAGTTAATCTAACATTAACAGGAACATTAACTGCTGCATTAAGAAATTTCGACGGCGTAAAATCAATTATTTTTTCAACTACTAAAAAGGTTAATTCCTTTTCAAAACTCTTATCTTTATTTGAAATCGAAGTCCTAACACACCTATTTATATTCATCGATGAATCATTCAAACAAGAAATTTGTGTGTTCATTTTTTCGTAAGGCAAATTAAGATTTTGTAAACAATTGCGATTAATCAAACATGATTGGGAGCCTGAATCAAGCAAGCACCTATCTTCCTGCCATAAGGAATTTTTATTCTTAATAAAACACTTAGCCGTACTCAAAAGAACAGTTTTTGTGTTTAAATTTATTTTTTTCATAACTGGTGGCGACTACAGACATATTTCCATCGGCGCCGTCTTGGGAAGAAGTGGAAGGGGGGATGGAATATTCAAAACTCAGCTGTGACTCTTGGTTAACAGGAGCAATAGCGGGTGATTTATTATTTCTGTTTTCTTTTGGAAAGTGGATCATTTTATTATGAGGTTCACCGCAAAAGCAATCCTTAAATTTACACGTTTGAAAGGAACATTTGACGGATAAGCATTTAAAACATAATTTATTACTCTCGACTACTTCTAATCTTTCATTAATGGACATATTTTTAAATTTCGAACACATATACAAGGCATGCTCATTAAATTTACAAATGACACATTTAGGATATTTTATTTCGGATAAAAACACATTAGAAATATTTTTATTAGAACGGAAGTCTCGATACCTTTGGGAATGATAATTTATATCTTGTTTTGATTTAACCTTGGAAGAAAGATAAATATCGCACTCTCTTCCTAGCTCTTGTGGTTTGAAAAATGATTCTCCCTGCCTTACTGCAATATGAGTCATTAATTCTCGGTCAAGTAGACCAAACATCTTATCCGAAATAATTAACTCGCATAATGTTTTAAAATCGCTAACCTTGCGTAATTGGCAATAGTATTCGAATGCTGCACTCAATCGTGAAGCAAACTGAAGATAACTTTCATGAGGCATTTTTTGCATTTTATTAAAATTGTTAATACATTCTCGAGGTGTTGGTTGAAATTCCTTCAACACGATTTCTTTAAGTTTATCGTAATCTGCTAGTTCTTGTTCACTTATATAAATCATTAAATTTTTCGCTTTTTCACCTAACAAATTTAGCAGTATTTCGGATTTTAATTCTTCGGGCACATTTTTCGTTTTAAACGCTTTCTCGAGGGATTGGAAAAACAAATTAAATGCTTCAGGTTTAGAGGAAACGGATATGGTAAGGGTTTTTATACTTTTTATTAAATCTTCGAGACGGTGCGGCGGCTCAAGCTCTCTAATAGTTTCTGATTTCGAAGAATTGTGCGATTCTTTTCGCGCATTAGATAATTTAATTTCTTTTTCTAACTGAGCGAGTTTAATTTTTTCTAACTCTAGTTTTGTTTGGTTATCTTTCTCTAACTGAGCTAATTTAGTTTTTTCTAACTCATAATTGTTTTTCTTTTCCTCAAGAATATTATCAATCAAACTCTGAACGAAATCACTATCGTTTTTATAAATCTCACTATTTTCAATTAGCTTATTTATATCAATAACTCTTGCCCCTTCTTGAACTTTTAAACTTAACTCGTCTGCGACGACTTTTAATTCGTCATTTTTTAGTTTATTAAGGGACATTTTTTAAACACACTAAAATAACTCAATATAAATAGACAAACTGAATAACTCAAAGTAAATTTTGCACAATGAATGAAACAAGGGAAATTGCTCTTACCTCAGAATTTCGGCTTCTTTTTTACTGTCACTCACTAAATATTTCACTCAAAGATAATATAAATTCCGTTGTTAAATAACACGAGCATTGTACACATAGTTTCGTTTCTCTATTCACTGTAAGAGATCTCCACAAATCACTAATTCGCCTCCGTGAGACTGGACCACATGTATTTGATCACTCTAATCGATAGCTCAAAATGTATTTTTCGTAAATAACAACACTGGTTTGCAATGGACTGTAGAACACTTTATTTTTAGAGATTCACGGACTACGTCCGCCATTCATGAAGTTCTCAAGGTATAAAAAAGTCTCTCTCAAAGGGGTGGCGCGGCAGTCGCACATGCGCGAACACATGTCATTATTATAAAATTTTGCATTTAAATATCGTTATGAAGGAAATATTGTAACATTTTTATTTCATTTTAACAAAATTTTCAGAAAATATTTCTATTATTGAGAGAAACTTTCTAATATTTCAGAAATTTTTTTATTTTTTATAAAAAATTTCTATTTTTTAAGAAAATATTTATGCTTTTGCAAAAAAATTTCCCTCTTAAGAAAATATTTTTTTTGTTTTCGTAAACAATCTGAAAGTTTTGTAAAAATGTTTCAATCTTTTTAGCAAAATTTGTATAGTTTTTCAGAAAATATTTTTATTTTTATAAAAAATTTCTCTCTTTTAAGAAAATATTTATGCTTTTGCAAAAAATTTTCTCTTTTAAGAAAATATATTTTTGTTTTCGTAAAAAATCCGCTAGTTTTGTAAAAATATTTCAAACTAAATATTTTCATTATTGAGGGAAATTTTCTAATATTTCAGAAAATATTTTTATTTTTTATTAAAAAAAGTCCTATCTTTTAAGAAAATATTTATGTTTCTGCAAAAAAAAATTTCTAGTTTTTCAGAAAATTCTATATATTTTTCTGAAACTTATTGTATTAATTATTACAGGGTGTAATTTTTTCTTGATAATATAAGCTTTTTCACCTGTGAAAATGATCAATAAAGACAAAATATATTTTAATAAAATAAATAACATTTTATTCAAAGTTTCATCCAAGCACTTCTGCTGGCATACATCATAGGTTTCTTAACAATTTTATTTTTACTATACAATTTTTTATTTATATCCAAATGGTCTGGTAATCGAACATCATTTAATGTTTTTAAAAATACATTTCTCCCCACTGGAGCTGATTTTCTATTTCGCAAAAAGTCATTTATAAGATTTACTATATTACTTCCAGGAGCAGCTTTATCTTCATGAATAATTTCACCTTTAGTGGTCCAAAGGAGAGATTCATTATTTTTTAAGAATTGATACATATCTTTAGCTTTTTCTTGAAATCGAACTGGAACAGCAGTTAGAATTTTTTCCTCCAAGTCTTCAGTTTCTTTTTTGACATTTGAAGAGATCTCTTCTGCAGACTCTACTAGAGAATCGTCTACGTTCGGAATTTCATGCTGATCGGTTTGAGGTTCTGGTTTATTCGGTCTCAAAATTGAAAAGTGGGTATACTTCTGCAATATTTGTAAATGCAGTGTTGCTTTCTCGTCATCTGCTAAGTCCGTTTTCTGTAGAATATTTTTCATTTGTCGA